ATTGCCCTCTGAAACAGCCAAATAGTATTATTGGACTTCAGTCGGTACCTGCAATAGAAAAAAAATATGCATATCTTATCAGTCAAACTTATCATTTGCAGACTATATATTCATTTAGCCTACTCATCATAGCACAACTTTATAAGATCTTTCACCAAAACTCGCTCGCGAACGACGGTGCACGTACGTGCGCAAAAACACATGCGTTTGTGGGACAAGCGCGTACTTCTGATCCTGCTCTGATTGATCAGTGATTAATATTTAACATTCTAGAAACGTTCATTATCAGATGGTAGAAACTAACATATAATATTTAAATTATTTGAAAGCAATGTAACGTTACATCTTTGCTGATGTTAAATGATTGTAACGTTCGGAGAAAGAGAAAACATAGAGTTACCTTTCTATTGGTGTTGTAATTACAGTTTAAATTTGGTCCCTTAATATGTTGAAATTAGTGGGTGGAACGAACTGACCATTTGGCACACCCACACAGGAAGTGGTCTCACCCCCTTAATATGGGTACCCACTTAATATGGGTGTCCCTTAATAAGAATTATGGATTTCCCTCGTTTTGTGGAAAAGTGTCCCCTTGGGATGTCCCCTGAATGGAAAGGCCCCAAAGAAGGGGTTGTACTTTAATTACAATACATTTCTTACATATATTTTTACAACTCAGTTATTAAACATATACAGTACAAACCTACTTTTAGTTTAAAATCTTCTGGGGCCATCTGAAGATCCTTATACTCGAAGGCTGGACTAACGGTGCAGCCAAACAATGTCCACTTTCCGCCATCTAGACATTTGGCACTCTGCCAGTGGTCGGCTGGTATCAGTAGTTGGAAAGTTTGACCTTTGGTCAAGTCTGGTCCGACCACACGCTTGCCCATTGAAACACCCTCAGGATTTGCAAGCGACACTTCAATAGGATCCCCAGCATAATAATGCCAGAGTTCATCTTTTCCCCTAATGCGGTGCCATACAATTCCGCTCTCTTTGGAAACCAGGTAGTATATTGCAGTACTGTGTTCGGATCGGTATGTCTCCTTGTAATATCCCCCTTCAATGTGTTCTTG